GGGGTGTGCAGGGGTTGGGGTGGTGGGAGGGGGGGAGGCATATGGGGAGGGGTGGGCTTGGTGGTTGTGGGGGAGGGGAGGGGGAGGAGGTGCTGGAGAGGGAGAGGGAGGCGAAGAGGTGAGGCAGGGAATCCGTATAACACATCCCTTTTGGATCATTCGGTTTAACCGCATACCTCCTCCTATATTCCTCCTCCTCTTCTTGCTGCATCCCGCTGTCTCCCGGTATCGTCCTCTTCCTCTTCCTCATCTTGTTTTCCGGTTGGATGGTTGCACGTGCAACACAAGCCGCACACATCCCCTTCTCACACCGTAAATGGCTCTGACAGACGGCCTTGCTATTACACCTATCCCCCACTTTCCCTGGCTGCGAGTCTGGATTCGTTTGGCATATGCTGTTCTTACATATCAGATCCGGTGCACAGCCATCTGCTGCGTCACATAAATGCCCCACGCAGCCAAATGTACACTCGCTTTGCTCGATGATATACGGGTTCAACCGCACACTCGTGACGTTCGACAGGCCCGCTGGTTTCAGTTTCCATTCTTTGGTGGCGGGGGAGCCGGTGAGCATGGACCTAAGGTAGGCTTCTGTGGTTTCGTCGGCGGAGGGGGCGAGGATGTGGTAGGGGGCGGGGAGGTATTTGGACCAGGAGAAGGGGCTGCGGGTTGTGAAAGCGTGGCGCAGGATGGAGGCGAGGGCGGGCCAGGTTGTGTAGGTGGGGTGGAGGGGGTTTATGCGGGAGGATTTGGCTTCGGAGAGGGGGGTTAGGTGGGAGTATAACTATCACAGTCTTGTCGTTAGTAAACCACGTTTTCAGTACCACAAACGGTAAGGAAGGCAGGAAGACAGAAAATAGCCCAAAACATACCCAAGGAATCCCCCTATAATTCAACACATTCCCCCCATCCCAAACCGCCTCCCTCTTATAAAACAACCCAAACACCTCACTATGCACATACCCCCACTCCTCCACCAGCAAAAGTTTCCCCTCCCCCTTCTTCCTCCCCTCCGCCCGCCCCATCAACGTATTGCCGGGGAGAAACAAATCCGCCCACGCCGTCCCCGCCGTCCTATCTGTCGTTTTATCGAAATACCCATGGATGCCAATCACATCAATAGCCTTGCAGTCAAACACGCTATCCGGAAAATTCTCAGTCCCGGAAATGGACTGGGCGCCTGAGACGCCGCCGCTGATGACGGCGATGTTGGATGCGTCGAGGTTGATGCTGTATTTTAGATGGGTGGCTATGTCGCAGAGCCAGGATTCTCCCGAGGGGATGGGCGAAATGCCAGAGAAAGGCTGGTTTTGAAGGTCGACGCCGAGAATGACTTCGGATAAGGTGCTCCAGGGACGACCGTCAAAGTTCTTGGAGGGGTAGTGGGTGAAGAAGACGCTGAGGCGTGTTTTGTACATGTCGCGATATTCCTCGTTGCTGTAGAAATCGAGGAACGCGCCGTTGAGTTTCTGGCAGTAGGCGTCGCAGGCTACGTCGTTTGTACCCCGAAGCGCATGTGCGTCGTGCGGAGCAATAATAACTTTCATCTGGCCTTTAGAGAGATGGTGAATGGCTGCTAGCGTGTCATCGAATTGATCCAGCAGCGACTTGTCGAAGCCGCCTATGTCGCCTTCTGGATCTGGGTGTTGGGCATCTGGGCGGATGAAGAGCCGGATTACGCGGGCGCCGCTTTTGATGATTTCGCGGATTGTGGCGGCGCGGTGGGTGGGGGTGAGGAATTGGAGTTGGGGGTAGTTTACGCCGCCGAAGGAGTGGTTGGAGGAGGTTATTCTGAGGGAGGAGGAGGCGGAGGCGGAGGCGGATGTGAAGGAGGGATAGGTGGTTAGAGACAGCAGTACTGCTAGGAGTGAGGGTAAGAGCATCATCTCGGCAAGTATGGCATGGACGACAAGACGACGGAAAGGAATTGCATTGCGACGCGGTATAAGTCCATCATCCTGATCTGAACACGTGTAGAAGTTTTGCTATAGACAGATCTCTGTAACGGCGGACTAAGAGTTGATACTTGCGGGATTGACAATGTTCATATGGATAGATTAATTGCGGTGGTGCGTGCAGCCAATCACGGCGTGCTTGCAGGCAGTATACGCGGGGTCGCTAACCTGGACGGCGGGATGATGGAAGTGGACAGGGTATGTTTTCTGGAGTTCGTACTGGGTTTGTCACGCTGTCTTGTGCTCGTGATGGTCCTGGCTAACGGGGATACAGACGCGTGGTTGATGCACCGGGGAATGAGCACAACAAGCGTCGCATCGGGTATTGGCAAGATGTTATGGTATGATATTTGCCGCGATGAGGATCGGATGAAACCATGTATCAAAGTCGTCGTGCGCAAGTCCGGCGGATGGGAGTGGCAGCTACGTTGTGCGCTCACTTTATCCTAGATACATAGCCTTGGTAATGATTCGGGTGTGGACAGGAAGCACTGCGACGTGCTGCGATACGTCGCAGGATATCCTTTGATCCAAATCTACGGGGATGATCTGGATCCCTTGTCCTAGTGCTGGTGTTGTTCCTGTCAACGATTGAAGAGTGGCGTCTCTGTAGACATACTACTTCCCTGACCGGCATAAAAACTGCGCAAGCGTAACCTCGTTTTGCGGTCGATAGCCTTGGGCGGTAATGCGCAATTTTACCAGCTCAGGCAGTGTGTGATCCAAGTCGAAGACTGAACCTTTCGACCGCTAGCATGGTCCTCATGTTTGTACAGTGCATTCGTCACGACGATGCTCGGATATTCGCAATTCTCATCCAGCCGGTTTATCGCACACGGCTTCAAGTTGCTTGAGCGTGGCCATGACTTCTTCTCCAATGATTTCCCCGCTGGACGACGGAGCGAAGCGGCCATGTCGCAGCTCACTGAGGGCGCCAATAACGTCTTTGACCTCAGCCAAAGCCCGTCTGTTCTCTTGCTCTATCTCTGCGATCTGGGCCTCGAGGGTTTGGCATGCTTCTTCGATGTCGGAGTGGACCGTCTGTAGCGTGTGCGGTTTCTTGCGACTCTGGCTGGAGAGCTAGTGATTGTCAGCGCAATTCAGGGAGTCTCTGTCCTTAATGTAGTACCTCTTGCTCCATTTGAAGCGCAATCGGGTCCAGTCCGGCGACGGTGGCATCGTCTACGTGGCGTCTTTCCCGAGCGTACTCCCGCCTCAACTGCTTGGACCGTTTGACCTCATCGATAATGTCCTGGCGAATCAGCTCGATGTCCCTGTCGCGTATGTGCTGAAGCTCGCGATAAATTTCCTGCACAGCGGGGCTGGAGCGGTGGGCGCGGGGGAAGATGTCGGTGAAGTCGCGTAGGGTCGTGAAGTCGCGCAATGGAGCAGGTGCGAGGAGGAAGTCACCGAGGATCTTGGTCTCTTGCGACGGCATGATTAGAGTAGTAGATGTCGATTTCAGGCCGGACAGTGCCCACGTACAAGATTGATACGGCAGTGTTGGTGGTGGATGCGCCAATGAAGGAGGGCCATCGGAACGCGCGACGACGCGTTGTGGCCCGTGCCCAGAAAACTCCCGTGAGACGTGCCTGGACGACTCCAAGCAAACGTCGACTGAACCGTCTTTCACCAAGCTTGTCGACTGTTTCCGGTATTCAGGCAACCGTCATTCCAGTTTCGCGGCGCAAAGTATCGTTCTTATTGTCGAACACCAAGGCTGGCACGAAGACGCGCTACGTGGACGTGCAATCTCTCGCACCCTTACCGCTTCCTTCCTGACTACCAAACCCATCAACATCAATTTCATCACATTCCATCGCAATCATGGCGCCCGCAGCTGCGCCGGAGCCTTCCTTCAAGAAAGATGAAAAGGTCTTTTGTTTCCACCATGAGTTGCTATACGAGGCCAAGGTGCTCGAAGTCAGGCCTGTAGAAGAAGACAAGAAGAACGGCTTCGAATACAGAGTCCACTACAAGGGCTGGAAGAACACGTACGTATCTTCTATCCGTTCGAGTCTGCGCCCGCCTGCTTGTCACTCCGTCTCCCACTGCAGAAGTCACGTTTGCTTCTGCATACACTTCACTCGTGCCCACGTACTACACCTTTACTACACATTCGCAGCGGCACGTCATTTCAAATCGGCCCCTCAAAACTCAAAAACCCGCGGCTTGCTTTTGAGATCGCAAGCTAACGCATCGCAGCTGGGACGACTGGGTTCCTGAGGACCGGCTTCGCAAGCTGTCTCCCGAAAACCGAGAGTTGGCCAATAACCTCAGGCACGAAATGCTGGCAGCTCAGCGTGCCGCAAGAGCTCAACCTGCACCTGCGAAAAAGAAGGCTCAAGGTTCGGCGCGCGGTAGCGAAGAGCGCCAAACCTCCGTCACTGCTGCACCGCGTGGTCAGAAGAGGGTGCGGGACAATGACTTGGAGAAGGTATGTATCCCAGCATTCCGCCCTATGCTTTCCGGCGCACTCCCTAACTCCCATTAGGAAGAAGCATTCCAGAACAAGCTGGCTGTCAGGATCTACATGCCAGATAGGCTAAAGAGTCTCCTAGTCGATGACTGGGAGAACATCACTAAGAACCTGCAACTCGTTCAGCTGCCTTCAGCTTACCCTGCAGGCGTCATACTGGATGAGTACATGAAGCATGTCAAAGACAACAGCAACCGCACCAGCATCGAGCAGGACATCCTCGAGGAAGTCATAGCTGGACTGAAGGAGTACTTCAATAAGAGCGTCGGACGTCTTCTCCTGTACCGGTTTGAGCGCGAACAGTTCTACGACATCTGGACGCGCATCAATTCGCCGACGGATGATCTTGCGGCAAAGCCTCTTGCTGACATCTATGGCGGCGAGCATCTTCTGCGTCTTCTGGGTATGCATATATGAGTTATTAGATGTGAAAATTGCTAACAAGGCTTTCACAGTCACCATGCCCGAACTCATCGCGCAAACCAACATGGACCACCAGGCTGTCACGCGCTTGCGCGAGGAGCTCAGTCAAATGACGACGTGGCTCTCCAAGGAAGCGCAGATCAACACCTTCTTTGTGCCTACCTATGAGAGCCCGGGACAGGCCTACATTGACAAGGTCAAGTCCAGCACCTAGGAAGGCGGTGACTTCAAAATTTGATCAGTCGGCCGTTTCGCTTTGACATTTGTGTATCATCACTTCTGCATGGCTGGTGGGTTAGGGCATTGTCTAATGGCGCATAGGCGTTCTTGAGTAGTAACAATCAGGTACGGGGTCGGGGTATGTAGTTTTTGAGTTGTCAAGCTCCAAAGTGACATGGATACAAGTATAATAATACAGACTCGAAAAGTACTCATGTCTTCTTGATGACGTCCTCCAGTAACCCAGCAGCCCAATGCAAACACCTCGTCATATCGCCCTCCGCTTCTCTCGGCATGCCATATATGCCAACGCTCTCGCAAACCTTCTTATCCAACTCTCCATCCACATCCCCATTCCTGAATAAGAACTTATGGTCCTTGACATAGTTCGGCCACACAATATCATCTACATAGCCCGGTGGATCTTGCCAAAAGCCCTCAAGCGTCACATAGCCACTCCTCGCCTCCCTCCTCCGCTTCGCAGTCTCATAGCTCGTCCGTAAAAAGAGTCTAACATCAAAGATCTCACGAATATCCTTCATATCCTGCGAAAACAGCAAAAAGCCATCAACAATACATATCCGTCGCTCTTCCCACTCCGGCTTACTACTCCTCAACCACCCCGCTACCTCATCTTTCAACCTCTTGATCTCAGTCTCAGGTACACCATGGTCGCCCACACTGTTCTGGTCTTCCTGGCTGACCAGCCATTCTGGGCTGTTACCATGTTGTTTGATGTGCTGCAGTGCTTGTTTGAGCGCGGGTAGGTTGAGCGACTCTATGCAATCCCAGTCCTGGACAGAGTTCTTGACGGGGATCTCGGCGTCGGTGAGGTAGAAGTCGTCGAGATGTAGGATGGAGAGTTTGGAGGGGGGGAAGATGTCGCGGAGGAGGCGGGAGAGGGTTGTTTTGCCTGAGGAGGAGGGGCCTGAGATGCCGACTAGGAGGGGTTGTGGCATCGTGGTTGGAGGGTTGGAGGGTTGGAGGGTTGGGGGGTCGCGGGGTACCGGGAGTTTGGTTGCGCCTTCCTTTAGGATGGATTGACGGTTCACGATTAAGATAATTCGAGTAGATATTGTTTAGTCAACCTCCTCACACGACATGCCTACCTTCACACGTGTGAATGGTGGGGCTGTCGGCGTCTGATCGCCCACCGGCCCGCTAGTTCCCCATGCTGCGCGACGCGCCTGCGACTGCCACCATCTGAAGCCCTGCATCTCCCACGACAAATATTCCAGAGTTCCGACCAACACACACCATGGAGCCGTCACCGCTGACGCAGGACACGCGCCCGGAAATCTTCCAACCCAAGATAATCTCCCTCTACGAAACCCTCTTCAAAGTGCGTCCTCTCCATCTCCACCCATTTCGCGCCAACCAAGTGCTAACCATCCGCAGGAAGACGACGAAGAAGTCGAGCTATCCGCGGGCTTCTGGCAAGAATTCTTCCTCCACCGCCCCGACCCCACCGGCCTCCAGCGCATACTCAATTCGGCAACGCCGGACGAGATGCTGCACCAGCAAGCGCATTCGCAGGCACTCTTCAGCCAGGCCATCCTGCGCGTCAAGCAAGCCCGCGCGCCCGCCGACGAAATCGCCCTCGAGGTACCCATGCCACCCACCCACGCACACACACCTTCTCCTTCTCCATGCGCTTACCGCTTAGACCTTGACAGTCTTCCTCGATGCCGCGCTTACGAAGAAGTACACGAATCCTAGCTCTGATATCATAGCTGTTCTTACGGGGCTGAATGATGCGGATAAGGTTATGACGGAGTTTGTTGCGACGCTGGATACGGCGATACGGGGGGGAAGGGATAGTATGTATAGAGGGGATGCTAGAGAGGGAGAGGCTGACCAAGAATAGTTCCTTTGCGTTTGAGGGCTGTGAGAGCGGCGCTCTCGATTACTGCGGCTGGCTTTCAGACTGCGCTTCCGAGTTACTTTACTCATCGTGATCTTTTTCCCTCGCTCATGAAGGTACGACAGAAAGCACGACAGGAGGAATGAATACTCACAGCCAGTAGTACATCCAAGATTGCGACGACAGCACCCAAGTTCTCCCCGCGCTCTATCTCCTCGGCCTCCTCACGAACTACAACAAATTCGAGTTTCAGAACCCGTATAGGCTGCGGCTAGACGACTTTGTCAACGATGCTATCATACAGGATATGGTCGCTTGTTTTGGGAATACATGTACAAAGCTGCGGGACGCCTATGTAGCTGTACAGGACGACATGCCAGAGGGCTGGTCGCTGGGCTCGACGTTGAGTTATATTGGCCTGGGTGCTCTTGCTCCCAGCTCTCGGCCAACGACACCTGTGCCGGCTCCAGAGGACGCTAAATCGCTTTTCGCTGCATTGTAAGCATTCCAGGTCGCAGTCACTGCTCATGGCTAACATTTGCAAGACCTGGGCCTGACATTGGGGTACTTCTCTCCACGTACGACTTCGCCAACGCCAACAAAGTCTTCTGCTTCAATCTAGTCAAGTCAGCTCCAGCCGACAAGAGCGAACCGTCACCACTCAGCGCCTACCTTTCCTTGACGTCCTACATGTTCCAACACGCGCATCGGTCTACCAGGGCCGCACTATACACATACCTCAGCCTCTTCGTGCTGCAAATACTTGTCGAAGACCGAGAGCTCGCCAAACGCCTATGCAGTGACGAGTCGAAGCTATCGGTGCGCTTGTGCCGTCAGAGACAGCCCTACCTCCCGGCAGTGAGGGGTGATCGTGTCCCTGCAGCTGTCATTCTAGACATGATGTCTGACGCTATCAGTCATAATCTGCGGAGGCGGTTAGACGTTGACTTCTACATGTGAGTCTCAGTCCCAATGTGGCACTTGCTTGGCTAATTCTTTCCCAGCCTCTGCCTTGGCGTTCTCCTGCGTCTCCTTTCGCACCTCAGTCGAACCAAGACGCGCATCACATACCATTGGTCGGAGTTGTGGCGGACCCTGCTCTCCTTCGTCCGCTTCCTCACCACCTACGAAAGCGATATCAAGTCCAACTACAAATCAAACGGAATGATCAACATACTCGTCAATCTGCTGGCCTTTGCACTGTCTAGCGGAGAGAACTTTCTGCCCGACCCTGCATCGTATGACGATTTATTTTACAAGCTCGTGGAGAGCGGCGATACACTGATCAAGTTCCGGGACACATTCGGGTTATCAGGCCAATCAGACTCCATGCAGACGCTCATCAATGTGTCTTCACATTACCAATCCCTGCTGGAGAGCAACGGAACAGCGCGGTCCAAGCATCTTAGCCCGCAAGAAGTCAGCGCCGTCATCAAACAGGGGTACGAGACGTTGTCAATCGATGCGAGCGAGGGTTTGGATCGTTGGGAAAAGTTCCGGGAGGCGGACTTCAAATCTCTGCTGAAGAAGATTGCTAGAGCGGCGGTAGAAGATGCCAAAGCACTGAATGACGATAATTGAGGCTGGATATGGCACAATTGCAGTTCTCGAAGCGACCGTCGTCGTGGCCGCCCGCGCGTTCAAATACCAACTACGAATCAATAAACAACGTTGCGAAACATTCCAATTGAACAAGTCTGGGAGCTCAGCTGTATTGGGGTGGATCAACATGAGGGGTCACACATCCAGTGGTTGTTGAGCGATCCAGGGTCGCGATCCACAACACGCACCATACACATGAGTGATGTCGAGTGCTGATGAGAACATGATTGTGTGTATCGGGAGGGGTCTGATAGCGAGTCGGTCTGGTGCTCGTCGACGTGTAATGCCAGTACGCATTGGCCAGAAGCCGACTTGATACATCTCCTTCATTTCCCGAACCTCTTGCCTTTTGGTCTCTCAGCTGCCTGATCTCTTCTCATCTACATTTGCAGTTCATTTCAATGGACTGAGTGTCTCTTTTCTTTTCATTCATCGCTTCATTGACCGCCGTGCATCGCAATGGCTACAACATCGCGATGCGACGACGGCGTCCCATCGCGGCATGGTAGCAAGGTACGCAGACTCGCTCATCAAACTGAGACATTCATTGACACTGCATCAGGACACTATCGTCCCCGCTGATAAGTCGAGCTCAAAAGCCGCATGGAGACGCTCACTGTCCGCCACTGTCAATCATGAAGAGCATCCGGCACTTCAACCGTGCCATGCCTACAGTACCCCCAATGCGGATAGCTACACCAACCAGGACCGATCCTTCGCATCGTCATCTTCTACATTGTCATCGGCATCTCCCTCGACGACTCCACCAAAGTCATTTTCCAGACCCAGCATCCCCCAGCAAGCACACACAACACCCAACGGCTACCGTCTTGGGCCTGACGGCAATGAAGGGTGGAATTCCAGTTCGTCAAGTGTGCATACTGTACGGTCGCCCAGACAAAGCAGTTCTGGAGCGTCTTCCCCGAGGACAAAGCACACTATCTATGGAGGAGTTGGGGATGGGGTGCTTGTTGTGCCTGCGGTGAATGAGAAGCCGGTGAAGAATGTTGTGGTTGAGTTCATGGGGTTGAAGCTGTGTCGGGTCTGCGATGCTTTGCCTTACTGTGAGTAACTTTTGAGTGATGGTAGAACGAAGAAGGAGGCAGGGACCGGATCTCTCAGACACTTTTCTCGGATGACTTTGCTGACGCAAACGTAGTACTCAGCACCCGCAACATGGTCGACCGCATCCAAGCCATCATCGAAGACGACTTCAAGCACGCGCCCGAATCCACCCTCTACGACCTCCACTCCATCTCAGCCGGACCACACCACCACACGTACACCGACCGCGACCGCGCCCTCATGGCCATCCTCTGCTCCCTCCGCACTCTCCCTTTTGCCCGACAGGCACAAAACAACTGGTACCCACAAGGCCTCCCCATCAGCAAAGACAACAACCTCGTCCTCTACAACCACACCGTCGGCCTCGGCGTAAAGCAAACCGCCATCTCCCTCGACAGCTTCGTCGACTTGGCACAATCCTGGCTGTACGTCCGCAATCCAGCGAGCCTGTCTGGCGTCGACCCCTCCGCCAAGAACAACTGGAAGAATATTGCGAACACGCTTGCTACGGCCGGCGTCGACATCCGCAAGATTGACCTCCAGCTCTGGGAGGCGCTGACGTATAGTCTTGAAGGCGATCATCTAACCGCCGCAATCGACGATGTCATCGAATGGTCCAAAGACGGCACACTCGACAGCCGGCACGCCGCCTGGCGCGACCACGCCATCTCAAACGCGAAAAACGTACCCGAGTCGCTCTCCTCCGACGGCTATCCCCCCACACCCACCACCACCTCCCACTCTCACTCCTCGGGCCTCTACACCAAACGCTTCACGCACAAACACCCCCTCGGCCGCCCCCGCTCCCTCATCTCCGACGACGAAAAAGCCGAACTCCGCAAGGACCGTCTTACCCGCCTTACCGCCGAGGCAGCAGCCAAGAAACTAGAAAATCAACGTAAAGAGAAGAGGGAGAAGAGCAAAGGGTGTTTTGATAAGGTGAGGAGGGGTTGGAGGAAGAGGAAGAGTATGGTGTGGTTTGTGTGCTTTATTGTGGTTATATTGAGTGGGATTATGGGGGGGCTGGTTTGGGCTATGGCGAGTGGGAAACTGGATTTTACGCCGGGTGGGGAGGGTGTGTAGTGTGAGGGGGTGGGGGAGGGAAGGGGTATAGAGGAGAGAGGGGTGGTGGTGATGATGTGGATGCCGTTTACAGATGGAATGGGTGGGAGTACGGCGTTAACGGTTGGAGAGCAGTGGGATCACTATAGCGAGTGTCATGCCTTACGTGGATTCAATGGCGTTGTAGGCGTTAGGGCTTGTTATGCCGTTTAGGATAGATAGGTCAGGCGTCTGGGGTTGGTGTTGGTAGTCGTGGGGGATGATAGACTAGGTCATCACTCTACTTTGGAGTTCATGGGACTCGAGGACATGGTATTAGCAACTTGCTTCGAGAGATGCCATTGTACTACAATTTCCTCTTAGAACGTTGCTATGAATGGCGAATGGCACCAGCATATCCGCTCCATCACATTCTAACATTTTCTGTTTCGACGAATTATGTATCTTTACTAATACTTCTCTATCAAACCCCAAAATTATCACATCTCTATACACACACAGACACACATACGCATACCTCTCTCTATCTCACTCTCTCTACTCTGCTCCCTCACCCCTTACTTACATACCGCCACCTATCACTCATAACCACCGTTATCGACTTACCAACCAACCCACCAACTTACACACCTAAAGTTCCCCGCGAGAAGACTTCAAATTCGAGCGCGAGCCCACAAGATTCATCACTAATCGCTATATTACCTCTCCCGAAAACACTACTACCCAACAAACCAACCCTACCCTAGAACCATGCACATGCAACGTGTACCTCATCTCCGAGCTCCCGCACTTCCATGCTTTCCGCTCCGCTGTCCACTCCGACTCCGCTCCCTGAGTCTTAGTACGCACACGCTATTGTAATCGCACACGGACCAGGATGGTCTAGAACACGTTCGCGTGGTTGAGGACTACGTGGTTGAGGGATGGCACGGGTGGGTGGTAGGGTGGTAGAGTTTGTACCTGAAGATCGTTATTTCGCTTGGTAGTGGAAGTAGTGGGAGTAGTGGGACTACTGGGACTATCGGAATCGGTAGGATGGGATGGGATGGGATGTGGTTCTGGACTCTGGAGAGGTGAGGAGCTGGCTGGTCACTGTAGAGGTGTGATTGGGTCGGGTGGATGGTGCCTTGCGAATAGTTTTGCTGAGGGTTGTTGGAATTATTAGAAATTTACACGCGCAAGTGAGGATCTCGATAGCTAAGGAATAAATGTACACCAGCTTGCAAGACATGCATCGCGACACCACCTGCCCTACCTGCAGAAAACAAGAAATCGCAACACTCCCGAGATCCATACCCCCAATTTCCGCAACACCACCCCATCCCTCCAACCAGTCCTATCCCATCGTACCTATCTCACTTCACTCAGGAGTAAAAAAACGGTTCACTAGCGGTTCCCACGCTATTCTTAGCCTCAAAAAGCAATCCCATCCCAATCCATCCCGATCCCGTATCTGCATCACGCAGACCACGCGGTTCACGTTCCAGAACACCACACTAAAACGCATCCTTGCAAGCCGCGTTTCGTTAGCACTCCCGCGATGAAAAATGTACGTTGCTGACTGCATCGATGCGATCGGAGCGGGACTGGTTGAGATGTGCAATTTGCCGTGTTTGCGCTTGTGAGGGTACGATGACGACGTGTATGCGAGACGGGCGGGTTGATGCTGGTTTTCTTTCGCCGCAGCTGTGCGTTCGTTCGCGCAACGCGTTCCCTAGTTGACGAATGGGCAACTAGAGGCTTGAGCGCCACCATCGCCGGCCGGGTAGTGAGCTCGGTAGAAATGCGCAAGGTAGTTGTACTGCAGGTACGAGATGAGAAAAACAAAGAAACCCCGAGTTCTACGCCGCGGCTTGCATGTCTTGCAGGCTCTGAGACGAGGACCGAAAAGACTAGGAACATGGGGGCACTTGAGGCTGGATTGCGCTAGAGTTGTAGAGACACGAACGCGATACGAACAACAACCCGTATGTTTCTACTCAAGTATCGATTGTGGAGATTGAAGCCGCGTCGGGTTTACTGCTGGTTTAGATATTCTCAATCTCTAGTAAAGATCGTGTTGTACGAAACGCCTGGATGCAAGGCCGAAACTTCGCAGGTGCGATGCGAATATTTTCCGACGCATCTGACAGCTGTCACAATTCGCGACTCTGACTCTTGCGAAAATAAGTCCCACTGTGGCTTATTTTGAGATGTTCAGTCCCCACTAACCCCCATGCTGTGTCGCAAACACAACACACAGACAGATGCTGGATAGGCTGGATAGAGTGGGGTGAGAGGGGGTGTTCAGAAGATGAAACTGAAACGAAAAGAACACACGACGATGTTTGAAAATACCCTTGCACTTGCTTCTGTTACAACCGTTCCATCACGTGCAGCCTCTCCCTCCACCCCACTTCCACCTGTGTACTACCAGGCCAAGCCGGTACAACTTCGTATCCTGAATCTTCCGTCTAACATCTCGGCGGTTCTCTTCCTCCCGCCAGCCACATTATCCCAGCCCGATTTCGAGCAGACATCGAGAGGAGAATCCGGATCAGACGTCCTAATACGGAAGTGAGTCAAGATGGAGGCGCAATCTACAAATTGCCGTAGCCTACTCTCAAAGCGGGTACGCAATTTATCCTTGAGGTAAGCTTGGTGGCTGGGTAGGTCCCGGTAGATGAGGCGGTGATGTCATGGTTGCTGCACATGCACACGGATATGCAAGTCAGGACCGTTGCGTTGAGAGGCGGAGGCAAAAGGAAGATAAGTGGTGGAAAAGGTGTTGATGTAATGTAAGTGTTATTTCGGGATCATGGACGTTTTGCTCGTTGTGATTGCTTTGCTTTCCGAGACCCTGGCAACTGGTTGTGTGTGTCGCGTAGACTTGCGATGTTGGGGCCCTTGTCATGTGCGGTCGGTGGCTGTGGCTGTGGGTTGTCCCGCACGCACCGCCGTTCGATGTTCGATCGGCAGCCGATCCTGTCACATGGCCGAGGAGTGATGATCGCGAGGGGGATTTGGGTAAGACTTGCACTTGGTTGAGAGGGTCATGTCAAGTTAAGACGAAAAGAGTGTGATGTGCAGTGTTTAATATAGTGATGTGCAAGTAAAAAGTGGTAGTGTCGGTCCGCTCTTGTTGGTAGAGCAAAGTAGTATGTAGATTTGATAATGGTAGTTAAAGTAATAGTAAATGCAATGTAATGCGATGCTAGCGATTGTCTCGTCCAGGACAAACGGGATATGCAAATGTGGTATCATGGAAAGTGACAAATAAAACACCGAGAAATGCCATGGGAATATAACGCCGCATCCGTTGTCTTCAGTTCATCCCACTCTGTACAGTTCGTAATCATGCGCGCCGTCACCTCATCAACTGCTGTCCTCGCTGACCGTCGCATCGCTCGCCGACGATACTGACGATTTGTTGTCTGAAGGCAAGGGTCCGAGTGTCCAGCGCCAGTCTCGCGTCCGCTTCCGTCGTCCGGCGACGGGAGTTTCGGGAGCTGAGTCGCTGTCGTCGTCTGAGGAGGACGAGTCGCGCTTCTCGCCTGTGCGGGGCGACTTTGGTCTTGGTGAGCTCTCTGCGGACGAGGATGTGCTGATGAGGGAGAGCTGGAGGGGCGATATGCTGGTTTCGGAGGGGTTCTTCAGAGCCTTTAGACTGAGTGACGGCTGTGATGTCGAGGCGTCAGAGTCGGTGGAGGCGGTGGACGCGAGCGAGGAGAGGGTTGAGATGGAAGACTCAATGTCGGAATGTGCGAGGGTGTATCTGGTGGTGGTGATCTCCTCCTCCAGTGGTGTGCGGAAGGAGACGCGCTTCTCGGCGGGGAACATGGGCCGGCTGGAGCCCATCTTGCGTGGTATTATCGAGCGTGCGGGGCTGTTGGAGAGGATGGAGGCGAGGTTGTGGGGTTGCTTGTAGGGTATTGAGAGGGTGGCCGAGTCGTTGGAGGCCGATGTGAGCGTGGAGGAGAGTGTAGACGCTGAACTTGGCGTCGATGCGCTGGTAGAGCCGCTGGTGGCGGGCACGTCGCTCTCGATGGAGAGCTGGGGTCGTGAGGGGCGTTGTAGTGTCGGGGCAGTCGCCGGGCGCTCATAGGCGTTGGAGAAGGTGTTGCGGACGGTGGGCGAGACGGCACTGAGGGTTTCAAGACGGAGACTGGCACCTTTGCCCAGGATGCGCGGCTGCTCAGTGTTGATGGAGAGTTTGGGCCGGGGCGGGGCCTGGCGCGGGGGTATTATAGGCAGCGAGGTGGCCATGGAGGAAGTCATTGAGGTCATACCGGACATGGCAGATGATGCTGGGTGCGAGGGCTGGAGGGTGGACAGCATCATGTGGGGGGGTGTCCACGGGTATGAGGCTGGTGCCGGAAGTGTGCAGATGATATTGCGAATACTTGGGGACAGGCGAGTGCTAGAGGGGCACATCGCTATTAAACACTGCCATGTCGGCTGCGGATCCACCAGGACGGTCTTAACACGAAGCGCCTGGCTGGGGCTGCTCCCAAAATACCCAGCAGCCACTAGGCTTGTCCAAAGATAGATGCAGCGTGGCAAACATAATTGGGCTACCCGCGCCCGGCGCTTGGCGTTGACGGGCGGCGTTTCGCACCTGGCCACACACGTCGCGCCTTCACGCGCGCTTCATCACCCGCTGCACCACTACATGCACCTCCACACGACACGCACGCCGCTGAAACTGCTGCACAACACCGGCGCTTCTCGTTGCTCCATGAAGAAACTGAAACGCCAGACCGGCTCCGTCATCGTCCACTTTGTTCGTAAGCACCAGGCACAGCCTTCACGCCTTGGTCGCCCTATTCGGCCTCACCTACTAACCTTCCCTCGTATCCACAGGACTACGTACGTACTTCTTACCGCGTGCGGCCGAGTCTACGTATTTGAGTGCGCAGAAGATAACGTCTACCGTGCCCCTCCCCACAGGACTGCTTCTACGCCAGCGTATTTGAACATGAAAACCCAGCATTACGACGCTTGCCACTGGCCGTGCAGCAAAAACAGATAGTCGTCACATGCAACTATGAGGCCCGCCGACGCGTACGATCCCTTGACTACCGCCGTGCCCGTGTCATCGGTCCAGTCTGACTCTCCCAGGGCTTGCACAAGCTGCAGCTGATCCACGAAGCGAAGAAGGTCTGCCCAGATGTAGTCATCGTCCTGGGCGAAGATCTTACCCGCTTCCGGAATGCTTCCAAAGAACTCTATGCTTTCTTGCGATCGTTTTCCTGGAACTCCCGTTGTGAACGACTAGGCTTTGATGAGGTTTGTCTTTCCTGGTCGCCTTTCCACTCTCGACCCTCGTGTCTCAGCACCGCCACCTTTGCAATCTCATTTTAGTCCCAACGCTTTCTGTTCTCTCACCGTATCGTTCATGCGAGTCATGCTAAGGCGGGCTAGGTGTTTTTAGACGTCACCGACATGATCGACTACAATGTCAGCATTCTCAACTCTAATGACCTCAGCAACGCCTTCTTTTGTCTCGACAGGAACGATCCCACTGTGGGGTTTCCTTATGACGCGACGCGGCTGAGGGGTCATCTATACCCCAAAACGGCCTCTGAACACTTAGGTAAGCTGTACACGGCGCATACGGTGTGGCGTAGCAAAAACATCTTCTTGGAATGGACCGCGAACGGCAAGGCTGACAGCCCTTGCTGAATCCTTGCGGCTACTGAGACCAGCAACCGTGCCTATGGAACTGCCACCAACAGTCTGTGATTCGATTATGCAGGTGCCCACCGTATGCGCCATAAGATGCTGTACATAGCCGAACGTTGGAACTGATCGATTGTAGGCACCACGCCCGATCTGCTGCACCTCCGATTGGCTCTAGGGAGCCATCTAGCACACTACGTGCGAACTCGACTCGAGGCAGAGAAGGGCTACACGGCCACGGTTGGCATCTCTACTAACAAGCTTCTGGCAAAGCTTGTTGGCAACACATACAAGCCCAATGCTCAGACTACACTGGTCCCGCCCTATACATCTGGTGAAGACGATGAGACTATCGACAACGTGACTGCCTTCATCGATGATCACGAAGTCGGCAAGATTCCCGGCATAGGGTTCAAGATAGCACAAAAGCTCCGTACCCACCTACTGCAGCGGCCGGCAGAATTTGATGCTGGACTGGTGTATGGCGGTACTAAAGAAACTGTCCTTGCCCGCGATGTAAGGACGCATCCTGGAATCGGTCCGGAGACGTTGGAGCGGATACTCGGTGGTCCGGGCGTACCACATGGCACCGGGACCAAAGTGTGGGGTCTACTAAACGGCTGTGACGACACAGAAGTAGGCCAAGCACGCGAAATACCGCGTCAGATCAGTATAGAAGACAGCTACATGCGCCTAGACACACTTGAAGCCGTGACCAAAGAGCTTCGCATGCTAGCGAAAAGACTGCTCGAGCGAATGCACACCGATCTCCTAGAAGAAGATGACGATGCACACGACCTATCCACGGCTCCCACTTCCGCCCCTCCAAAGCCTATGAAGCGCTGGCTCGCCCACCCGAAAACACTCCGACTATCAACCCGACCACGGGCGCCTCAAAACCCAGATGGCACCCGCAATCGGTCCTTTGCACGCATATCCAAATCCGGACCCATGCCAACGTTTGTCTTCAGCCTAAAAGATAGCAATAATACTATGGATGCCGTGGTCGAGAAACTGCTGTCCGAGACGTTGCTACCGCTGTTCCGCAAGCTGCATCCGGAGAAGAAGGGATGGAATCTTAGTCTGGTTAATGTTGCGGCGACGAATATGGCGGATGCGGCGAGGGAGAGGGGTGGGGTGGGGAGGGATATTGGGAAGATGTTTAGGAGGCAGGATGAGGTTTTGAGGCAGTGGAGGGTGGATGATGAGGAGGTGAGTGAAGAACAGGTTCAAGTTGAAGCATCTTCATCACCAGATGAACCGCCCTGGTTGCAAGAAGCAAGGCGGCAACGACGGGAATATATGATGGACGAAGAACCATCTATACCTGAAGAAGACTGGGTGAGTGAACAGCAAGCTCAAGTTGAAGCGTCTCCATCACCAGACGAAGCGCCCTGGTTGCAAGAAGCAAGGCGGCAACGAGAGGAGTACATGATGGACGAAGAGCCATCCCTACTCGGAGAAGATTTCGTCAGTGAACAGCAAGCTCAAGTCGAAGAAAACTTCGTGAGCGAAGAGCATGTTCAAGCCGAAGAAGATTTCGCGAATGAACAGCAGCCTCAAATCGCAAAATCACCATCACCATCACCAGACGAACCGCCCTGGTTGGCAGCAGCGCGACAGCAACGAGTAGAATACATGATGGACGAAGTTTGGCCGACAGGTGAGATTATCCATAGACACGGTTCTGAGGATTTGCCTACTTCGTCACAGAAGACACGGTCTCTTGTGGAGGATGAGGATGTAGAGGATGTTTGGGAGGAGGATGAAGAAGATATGACAGATGCCGATTCTTTTCGCTGTGAAGAGTGTGGTGCTGTTATGCCGAGTTTTGCTATGGGCGCGCATTGGAGGTGGCATGGTATGATGGAGTAGGGGTGGTTAGAAGGATGTTGGGTTGTGTTTGTTACGGGTTATATGATGCGACTACTATGACTTTCAGCCTGCTTCTATCTAATGTCTAAGTCCTTCAAATGGCTGTTGTGTAGGCGCTGCTTCGTGCAGTGTAGTGTAAATGCAGGGTAGGTGGGGGAGGCGGGGTGGAGGTGGAATTCATCTGCACCTCCGCTACAGATCATGTATCTAATACCCACTATCTTCTTGCTCCAGCCTCTTCGGGGGGCAAGTCATATAATCCGACAACTATTACTTTAGACGTACTTACAAATGGCTGCTGTGTAGGAGCAGCTTCCTGAAGAGGAAATGCCCCGCTAGGATCTCGGACGCGGGTTCCTCGGCAGTCCGAAGCCGTTGCACCAGTGGCTGCGACATGTGATTGACGTACATGGCAAGCCCTCTTGCAAATGCTTAACCAGAGCGCCAACCCGCGACCCAAACTCCACATTCCTACTATCATGTCTTTGGCGTAGACTTGATTGATACCCTACACCTTCCCACGATGCCCGGCTCATCGCGCTTGCCCGTCAGTCTCCGCGACACTTTCAATGCGCGGAAGAGCTCCGCTAATGGCCAGCTCGTCGCCTTGAACATCGATGTGTATGCGCTCCTCCCTTCCGATAACGATAAGTGAAGGAGCGGAATACTGACATGAGATATCTAGCCTGCGCAATATCATCTTTGTCCTTTTCCTCCTCCGCTGGACACGCATCACCTTCTACCAACTCAAAGGACGCGGCATCTTCGGCTCCATCAGCGATGCCTACATCAGCATTCGCCGCTACCTCTACGGCGTCTTCCTGCGACTTCCCGGCGTGCGCGACAAGGTACAGGCACAGGTGTCTGATTCGCTCTTAAAACTCGAACGTAAACTTGTTCCGAGCGGTCCCGGCGTCGAGCGCATCACCAGTCTGCCCGCCGAAGGATGGAGCGAAGAGGAGGTGCGCAAGAAGCTGGGCGAACTGGCTGATATGGAGCATACTCGGTGGGAAGATGGAAGAGTCAGCGGTGCGGTATACCACGGTGGGGAGGAGTTGATCAGACTGCAGACGGAGGCGTTTGGCAAGTTCACGGTTGCGAACCCCATCCACCCGGATGTGTTCCCTGGTGTGAGGAAGATGGAAGCCGAGATTGTGGCTATGGTGCTCTCCCTCTTCAACGCACCAGACGATGCGGCTGGTGTCACAACGTCTGGCGGCACAGAGTCTATCCTCATGGCCTGTCTCTCCGCACGCAACAAGGCGTACGCTGAGCGTGGCGTCACTCAGCCCGAGATGATCCTGCCTGAAACCGCACACACGGCTTTCCGCAAGGCTTGCGAGTACTTCAAGATCAAAATGCACCTCGTCGCATGCAAAGCACCGAGCTACAAAGTCCACCTACCCTCCGTCTCCCGTCTCATCAACCCAAACACCGTCCTGCTAGTCGGCTCCGCGCCGAACTTCCCCCACGGCATCATCGACGACATCTCCGGCCTCAGCAAACTCGCAGTCAAGAAGAAGATTCCCCTCCACGTCGATTGCTGCCTAGGTTCCTTCATCATCCCCATGCTCCCCAAGGCAGGTTTCGAATTCGAGCCCTTCGACTTCCGTCTGCCAGGTGTAACCAGCATCTCCTGCGACACGCACAAATACGGCTTCGCTCCTAAGGGAAACTCAACAGTCCTCTACCGCTCCGACGTATACCGCAAGTACCAGTACTTCATCTCCCCCGACTGG